GAGCATACTTTGCCATGTGCTCCGCTCGGTTCGAGATGTTGAATTAAATCGTTGAGTTCTACAGTATCGTTTACATGTTTCCTCCCGGTTATTCGAACCCCTCGACACTACAGTTGACTACGCCAAGTGCGACCTACTTCCCTACGCGGACAAAACTTGTTTACGGAGACAGATCTTAAAAGTTGGCTCATAGATGAAGAAAAAAATCATCAAAACCGTAAAACCACAAAAAAGTCAAATCGATCCAAACGGAAAACCGCATGCAAAACCGTCAATACTGATGAATTTTCGCATTCCCATTTATCAAATTATCCGATGAAGTGGTGACAAGTGGAGCATACAGAGATTTCGCGGCTATCCGAGATCGGTGGAGGCGCATAATTAATTGCCGCTCAGATCGAAGAGAAACCGGAACCCAAATCGAAAACCACGTCGGATACCAGATCCCAACAACCCTATAGTATTCTTGACGAAAACCGAAAACCAAACGCCATAAAACGGAAAATCAGCGAACCGCAATGAAAACCTAAACCGAAGAGATTTGGCACAAAAACCGACAAACCGTTCTAAAAAGCTGGCCAAAACCACAAAACCTCTCCTAGAGTCACTGTGGCTCAGTGGTAGAGCATCCGAGTGAGGAATGCGATGATCTGAGGTTCGAGTCCTCTTGAGGAAACAGAATTTTTTCTTTGTCCTGCGCTCGTGACAAGACGGAAAACATCTTTTTCTACTTCTTTACCGATATCAAAACTTGCCATCTTCCCTATTCTATTCAAAAAACAAACTTGCAATTTAACAGTCAGTTAATTTCAAGAATCCTTCAAAATGCTCTTAACCACTCTATTTATTTCAATATTCATCGAAAGTTTTACGGTCGGTCGCGCCCCTCTAGTGAGCAATTCGAATTTCCGAACATATTTTCCCGGTTTTGATTCTTTTGGAGAGCTCGAGAGGTACAGGTCAGGGCAGTTCTGTCTGTTCTGGGGCCGATTCGTTTTGCGGGAAATATAACTAAGCGAGAAAGTCCACGCGAGATAAAGTTACGTGAACTGTCAAGGTGTAATGATGTAACGGGTAACTTTATCCACTAGTCTAACCCACGACGCTTTTAATTGTCTCGGACATTTCGGTGACAAACATTGTCGGTAACATCTAGGGGCATCTCAAAAATATTTTTCAAGTCCGACCGGCCCTAAGCACCTGGGCGCCTATTGGAAAAAATACGGTATTTTCGTTTTCTTCGGGAATTCGAGTTAGTGGAGGTTCTACTTGTATGAAACACAATACTTATCATATTTATTCCGCCCGCTACAACCAACCCGCATGAACGCTTCTGGGTGTCTCGTTTATCTTTAAAAACTTCACAATTTGGAATCACTGTGTTTATTTATCTTGGAATGGTAGGTGGGACCAAAGGGAACGAAACTCAAACCGAGTCTTAAGATTACAAGGAGCTATGTCATCTGCCACTTATACCTCCTCAAAACAACACAACTTTTCTAAAAAATTCACTGAAATTGAGTTTCCAAGTTTGTTTGTTTGATTTTGATGCACAAATTAACTCCCGAGTCGAATTCCTCAAAATGAATCAGTTTTATTTGATCATAGGCAGGGATTCTATAACAGTGATTTGAGAAGTGTCCCTGCAAAATCATCGCAACTCATCTAAGGGCATCGAAGTTTGTAGCAAAGCATGCAATCAAACTTGTAATCCCATTCCTCGCATACTAATCTACCTCCATTCCTGAATTTGCAATTTTTGACCCAGTAAGTGCGAGATTCGTTGCTGAAATGAAAACTGTAGAGCCAAGTATCAGGGTCGCACTGCTTTTTTGGTATTGAGTCTTTTACGGGGGAACAGAAGGAAAGATTGTTCAGGTCTTTGCTTCTCGCTGTGGGCAGAAATAAAAAAAAAATAAGAGCAATAACAATATATGAAAGCTTCCTTGGAAGGAAAGTAAAAGCTGCAATAAATAACTTCAATAATTTTCTTTAAATTATCACTCTGACTGTTCTTGGGAATTTCGCATACGGTGTATTGAAATAGTGCAGATAGACTCGGTAACAAAAGAAAGGGAATACCACACGAAAGCACCCCACTGCAAGATTAAAAATTTACAGGCAGAAGAGGTCAGTGGACAATATTCTGCATAGTTGGTTGCTTTGTTGCAAATTTGCGCTCTAGATTTTGCGCTTTAGATTTCCATTTCGTTATTTCTTACTTTCTCTTTTAGTCGTGAAATTGAGGAATCTCGCTTGAAGTAAGTTCAGTTTGACGTAAAGGTGTTGTGTTTTCCTTGAAGAGGGTGGTTTCAAAAGTTTTGAGCATTCTGCAGTAAAACTATCAGTTAGAGAAACAAAATGGACTTGTCAGAGTGCCAGAACCCACTTCTCTTATCTTAAACTTCTGATTTTTTAAAACAATGTTTCGGGCCCGTTCAGTTACCGGGACTCTCCAGAAACGGCCCTAGGGAGTTTAATGCCAGTAGAGGAATAATTACCTAACCGCTGTAGATCACAGGTAAAACTTGTTTGAAAAGTAAATATGGACAAGAAACGGGATGTATAAATACGAGGCTCAAGTGGCAAATATCGCGCTTTTTAGGGTAATATAATTAACCCCGTTAAGTGTCGAGGTGGCAAATGGCGAACGTTAGATAAGTTCAACTAATCTTCTTTGCTTATCTAAGTTTTCATATTACCTAGACGGCTTTTTGTGAAATTCCTTTCTTTCCCGATGGAGTTAAAGTCCACCTCTTCCAAGCGAATAACTGGGAACTGGCCACAAAACTCCTGAATCTGTTCACTGAGGAGAGTTTTGTCAACTTCTTCTAGCACAGCCCAATACTTCCGAACGACTTCGCTGCTTTTAGAAGGAGGTTGGAGTGTCTTTGATGTAAAAAAGTCGGAGACAATAGGCATTCTGCCCGATGAAATAAGTAAGATGTACGTATGTATGTATGTATGTATGTATGTATGTATGTATGTATAAGTATATATTTAACAAATAGACTCCATGTGGCTGTGCATTCTTTCAGATCAAAGATGACAGTGATCGCAGGCGAGCGTGCCTTGATTTCTTCTGTAATCTATTACTGAATAGACTCGAGGCACTGCGGAATCTATTTGTTTTATGTAATAAAGATGCAACAAATTGTTAATAGTAACGTCCGTCTCGCGCCTGTCCAATTAAGAGGTCATCAGCAAGAACCAAACGAAAATTACGTATAAGAAGCATATGTTTATCTATCTATCTATTTCTCTCTATATATGTGAAATACATATACCTTTTCTTTTGCCATTAAAAAGGTGTCGACAGAATAAATTATAGAGACAATAGAAAAGTGCAATGCTGGAGTCAAAACTGACATACATACTTGCATACATACATACATACATACATGCATGAATGCATGCATGCATGCATACATACATACATAAGTACATACAACCATATATCTTTACCATTTGCAATCTAGTCTTTAGATCAGCAGGCTTTGGCAAGGTGTGAGGCAGTGGTCCCAGATAACATTTGGCTTCATTTTTTGGGCGACGCACCGATATTTTCTAAAGAACAAAAGATAGGGATCTTTAAGTCCTCGACAGACGCTGAGCGGTAGGGGAGATAGGGGTCAGTCTGTAGGTCACTCAATAATTGCTAGCATTTATTTCTGAGATATTTGTGAAAAGAAGAGAAGACCACTTGTAATTGTTAACACTGAGTGGTTTAAATTACTGATAACGACTCTGGTGTGATAGTTTGATTACTATTATAATGTTACCTTTCGGCTGTGAAATCAGTTTTTCCAGAAGCGATGAATATTATGAGAGAGTCTTAATTTTCCGTAGTTAGCAGATACAGTTTATTGTTATGCACTACTTACAGTTCAACTGCCGATAAATCTCCCTTTTTTGTGTGTAGTAAGAAGTGATTATGTACTTTCTTTGGTTGAAAGGAAGGAAAGACAACTTTGTTGTCTTCACAGATGGCAACAGCTACACGATAAAATTGAAGACTGACAGACTTTTTCCGTATTCCTTTCAACGGCTAACTTTGCAATGTCCCAGCTCAGACATTTGGCGTAAAATCTGGCAACCCATTTACCTTATTGAAGTCAAAAAGGTAGTCCGCTTCGGCGAGTCCATTGTGAGCCGGAACGTGGAAGTACTCAAGATTGTTTTCCTCGTCAATTCTTATCTTCTCAAAGAATTTCGTTCCTCTCTCCGTGATGTGAACTTTGTACTCGTTCTGGTCCACTTGTTCCACGATTTTACCTTGTGCAATCTATCAAATATGCAAAACTCAAACGGTGTTTTACTAAAGACCAGTTTACAGACATTTGATTGAATTAATGCTTCAATTTCTTCACATGGTAAGGGAAAGGTTCTCGCATCAATCTCGCCTGGAAAAATTCATCAATTTCATTGATTGAAAGAGTTGAACTAAATTCATTAATCGCCTACCAACTCAACGTTAGTTAATTTTAATCAACATGGAGAAGATTGAAGCTACTTACCGCAGCAAAACTTGGGTTAAAAATACAGAGATATAAAATCGAAAGGGTTCCAGTTGTAATAAAACCCTGAAATCGAACGAAAAAGTGAATTAAATAAAACTACAGATTCGCGCAGCCTGAGATCACCAACACCTAATTTTAACGGACAGCTTGAAGGAAGAACGCTGAATATTCCTGGATGCACAAATCTAAGGCTTTGTGAAGACCACTAAAGATGTACACTGAAAATATAACTTTATGTGACGAAAAAGCTTCAAACGATTTTAAAACAATTTGTACTTACCATGGCAGGTTACAATCAATAAAATGGCTGAGTTTTTTTCGTGCGTTCTTGTCACCTGACAAACTTGGTTTGCGCTTTTCAGTAGAAAAGTGTTGGCGGGCTTTTTATGTCGTTTCACAAGGAAGTGAAATGAGAAACTAATGTTGCGGCTACATAAGACAAAAAAATTTCCCGAGCAACATAGGAAGTACTTGAACTACCTTCAAAGGTGGTTTGTGAAGTTATTACTTCTGCTATAGCTTGCAGTCCCCAAAATCCTGTGTGTATCAGCGAGACACAATCCTACTTTGCACACGGGCTTCAGCTTTACGGACACTCTGAACCATGTCTCAAAACTTCCGTCAATGTGAACGCGGAACGTATTTCTAGTATCTGTTACTTGCTCTATTTGATTTATTTTTCCCCCATCGAGACATACGTATCCAACATAAACAATGTTTAATAATGTTTAGTTAAGTCATCTATGATCTAAACGCGAATTACTAAAACGCTAAACAAGTGATAGCTAGGTAGTCATAAAGGTCTTTACGCGCTTAATGTCTTTCATCGACAAAACGAAATCAAACCAATCGATGCAAAACACGAAGCGAAGCAAAGCAATCGAGGCGATAAAAAAAAAAAAAATACGATTATGACTGAACAACGTTGCCTTAAACTATTCCTTAACAGACGCAGAAAATAAAATGCTGACCTTAACTTCAACAGACACAGAACTTTAACCTGAAGTAACGAAAATATTAAATAAGAACTAAATAACAAACTAAATCAAAGTCACCACCAGATAAACAATAGACTGTTCTCTTAAAAATATCGCGCTTATCTTGCACTAGGCAATAAGGTATTTGTTGTTGTTAAGAAGATCACAAATAGACACAACGTCATGAATATTTATTCGTATGGTACTCGCCTGCCTTTCTACTGACGCGTCGTAGACGACAATCGAAATCGGTTCACCAGGTTTTTTTTATTTGTTATGGTCCAGACGGTCACAAATAGACACAAAAGAACTTTTTTTCTCTGTTACTCCCCTAACTTTCTACTATAAACTTGTCGTACGCGACAATCAACATCTGTTTACCTGGGTTTTGATCATCACTGAATGTTTGGACGTGTAAGAATCTACCAGTGGGTAGCTAACGAAGGTCACTAATAGACACAACATAATATTTATTTGCTCGCTTGACTTTTTATTGACGTGTCATATACAACGATCGAAATCGGTTTATAAGGTTTTTTTTTATAGACACAACAGAACTTTATTTCTCTGCTACTCGCGTAACTTTTTACTATAAACTTGTCGTACGCGGCATGCCCCGTACACATACAAATCGTTTTAAGAACACTTTTATTCCAAGTATGTGTACATAATTTTTTTTCTTTTTTAGACTAGTTTGTACATAGTCATATATAGAGAGTTTTTCGCATTTATGGTTTTATTATAATTTCAATTTGTATTTGGAATTCATTTATTCCTAGTTCTAAGTAATTGTAACGCAATTCAGTCTACGGACTGCCATGTTCGATATTCTAATAAACTATCTATCTATCTATCATGTTTAC